CCCCAGCTGCTGACCCCATGCCCGGGGTCCGGGCGACCGGCTCCGCACCCAGGGCTCCACGCTCAGGGCCCTAGCTGCCAGCCTCGGCTCCCAGCCGGGGCTTCACTTCCAGCCCCTTCCCTGCCCCCAGCTCTGGCCTCAGCGTCAGCCCCCTTACTCCTCGGCCACCTTTGCGTTTTAAACAGTGGAACATGTAGTGACTGCTCTTGTTCCCATGTGAGCACCCTGGTGCGCTCGCACACTCCCCTTGGATTTGTACATAAAAGCAGCAACCTCCCACCATTTTGTGTGATCAACCCATCAATGGTGCAAAGATTCCTCACGAGTGAGCAACACAGAGCTGGAATGGGATTGGCCCAATCAGCCATTCGGTACTGGGACATGTGTTCGGCGTGTGCACACATCCACGCCCTGCTTTGCACTGTTCAACCAGCTTCGTTTCTGACACAGCTGTGAAGTTTGGGTTGGTGCACACTGTAGATCTAGCTTTCAATCTACATAACTTGAGTGTCCCTTTTTACTCGTACTCAACTGAAGTATTAGCCAGGATTATCTTTCCCCAATAAATGACATGGCTGTAGAACTCTATGTGGTTTGAAGTTAGGCTTCTCCTACCATTGTCTATAGATTTCTGCCATCATAGGATTGCTGAGGTCCCCTCTCCAATCTGTACCAATACTTTTCATTCAGGGAAAGACTTTCACTTACTAATTAAATCTGCAGACCTGGGTGCAGACTCTCCAGGAGAAATCGGCAGGAATATCAAAGAGAATTTTCAATCGCCAGAACTCATAGGGAAGGCCGATGAAGCTCAACAAGAATTAGTTCGTGAAATACAGAATATGACCGAACTAGAGATGCCTATCATGGAATCAACTCCATTTATGCCCGGTAATTTATTTTGATGTGGTTGTGTGTGCATTTTAGCTTTGGCTACAATTGACGACGAACCCCCCTCCCCACCTCACCCACAGCAACCTGGGAACTGTAGTTATAAGACCGCTTCCCAGTGTACCGATGGAACTAGGGCCAATCAGGATGTCTGATGGCATGGGACTGGAAAGCCAGGAAGGACAGCCAGGGTTGGAAGACCATGAATGGAAACAGTTCAGAGATGATTGTTGGGAAACAAACCTGTAACTAGCTGCAGCTATGGTCCCATAGGCTGTATGAGTGTGTTGGTAAGGTGGAAGACCAGGACCATCACTGAGTGTAGGCTGCAATCTGCCCTGGAAACGGGGGGAGGTAAAACTTCAGTCCAGCCAAGCTGTAGGACTAGATGTGGGAATTACTGGATGAAGTTCTCTGGCCTGTGTCATGCGCAGGTCATAGAATCATAGAATATCAGCCTTCCAAGGGGAGCAGTGGGGGCAAAAGACATATCTGGCTTCAAGACTAAGCTTGATAAGTTTATGGAGGGGATGGTATGATGGGATAGCCTAATTTTGGCAATTAATTGATCTTTGACTATTAGCGGTAAATATGCCCGATGGGATGTTAGATGGGGTGGGATCTGAGTTACTACAGAGAATTCTTTCCTGGTTGTCTGGCTGGTGAGTCTTGCCCAGGTTTTAGCTGATCGCCATATTTGGGGTCGGGAAGGAATCCTCATTCCAGAGGCCCTGGGGGGTTTTCGCCTTCCTCTGCTGAGTGGGGCATGGGTCACTTGGTGGAGGATTCTCTGCACCTTGAAGTCTTTAAACCATGATTTGAGGACTTCAGTAGCTCAGACATAGGTTAGGGGTTTATTACAGGAGTGGGTGAGTGAGATTCTGAGGCCTGCGTTGTGCAGGAGGTCAGACTAGACGATCATAATGGTCCCTTCTGACCTTAAAGTCTATGACTCTATGACTCTATCAGGGTTGGAAGGGACCTCAGGAGGACATCCAGTCCAACCCCCTGCTCAAAACAGGACCTAATCTCCAACTAAATGATCTTAGTCCAGCTAGATGATCTTAATTGTCCTTCTGGCCAAGGGCGCTGGACCCTTTGTAGAAGTGTGTGGGGGGGGGGAAGGGGGTCAAGGCCAAAGTCTCCCCTCCCTCTCTGCGGCTGGCTGCTCTGGGGTGAGCCAGCTGCCCTCTCTTATGGCACCACAGCAGCCCCTGGTGGGCAAAAGGTGTAATTGCAGCACCTCCAGGGCAGAATCTATTATTCTGCGGGGGAGGGAGAGGGAATCTGCAGGGACATGAATTCTGCTCTTATGATTCTTTTATTAAAAAGCCGGGGGGACATGGTTCCCTGGCCTCAGCATTGGTCCTTAAATCTATGGGGAAAAGAACCTCTGGATGGCAAACTGATATAGATCTCAAACAGCAGGAGACAGTTCCTTTGTTAACTGTCTGAAGCCTGCCTTTCTAGCCAACGCTCTGTACCCAGAATGCTTTTTCTCTAACTTTTATCTCAGGATTGTGTTACTGTGCTTCCAGGCTGTGTCTGCTCAGCTTTCTCTCTGCTGCTGCTGTCTTGCTTCTGTCCCTGTGTCTCTCTGGGTGTGATGGCTCTGTCCCACCAACACAGATTGTATGTGCTGGTGTAGCTGCGTCAGTCCCAGGATATTAGAGAGACAAGGTGGGTGAGGCAATGTCTTTTAGCGGACCAACTTCTGTTGGCGAGAGAGACAAGCTTTCGAGCTACACAGCTCTTCTTCGGGTCTCCCTCCAGCCCTGAGGAAGAGTTCTTTGTAGCTTGAAAGCTTGTCTCTCTCACCATCAGAAGTAGGTCCATTCATAGGCACTGGCTTTTATTTTTCCCTGGGGGTACTCCACCCTGATGCCCTGCCCCCACTCCGCCCCTTCCCTCCAAGGCTCCGCCCTCCCCCTGCCTCTTCCCGCCCCCACTCCACCCCTCCTCTGAGGCCTCTGCCCGCCCACCACTCACTGCTGTCCGTTCTCCCCCAAAGCCCTCCCCGAGCTGCCAAACAGCTGTAGCTGGTGGGTGCTGAGCACCCATTATTTTTTTTCCATGGGTGCTCCAGCACCAGAGCACCCACGGAATTGGCACCTATGGTCCCCCATCTTGTCCCACCAACACAGAGCCAGACACACAAAAGCCTGATCTACACTAAAAAGTTAGTTGAACCCAGCTACGTCACTCAGGGGTGTGAAAAATCTGTATCCTACACTGATGGGAGCACCCCTCCTGTGGGCGTAGGTAGTGTCTACACCCAAAGGCTACAGCCAGGCAGCTGCAACTGTTCTGTTGTAGTGTTTCAAGTGGCAGCAAACCCAAAGACCTTGCCCGGTGGTGCTCTCTGCCCACAAAGTCTGACTTACGGGTGGGCGTCTATACCTGCTGTGTCTTAG